ACTACTCGGAACACGAAAGTTTAGTATAGTGAAAAGTGCCACTAGTTTTATTTTAAAATAGGACTTTACAGTTTGAGAAGTTGACTTGGCGGGTGAATGTACTGTCGAATTGGCACGGCTGGCACTGCAGAATGTGTTGACTGCTTTGCGGGTGAAGGTACTGTAGAGTCGAGTCATGCGTTGACACTAAATATAAAATGCTGATCAGAACTTCTCAACTGCAGTGGGTGCAACTGGGCGCCTGGTACTATTTCCAACTTGGCTATTGCGTAATTTGTTGGGTGCCGGTTTTGTTAGCTAACATTGGTTCAGAAAATCATAGTAGTAAAGACTTAGAAGCTATATTCTTAGAAATATAACAAGCCGTTAAAGGCAGTAGACTTTCGAACAGTGGCACCGTGCAAGCATTATTGGAGTGTCTTCAGAAATCTCACTCATGACCAACTTGTAAGACATAATGTGACCACCACCGCCACCATCTCCGAGTAACAAATTACAAGCAGATATCTCAGCCGCAGAGCAAATTCATAACTCTGGCGATCAACAGTTCACTAGGGCAGGAGAGAAAGGGGTTGCGGAAACGGTCAACGAAAAGAGATTACTAGTGTGGTACGTTCTGACCTCCGTCCAGGGGAACAGTACAAAATAAAATTCCTAGACCAGGTCCATGGGAAATATAGACTTACCAGTACAGGCGAACAAACGAACGTCTAATTCATATGGAGCTAAAGGGAACGGTAACCGTCACCAGGTTAGCGGTGTAAGCAACAGGTCGAACGTTGCAGTCCACCAGGTTAAAGTTCCAGTATCCAGAGCGGGCGGATCTGGTTTGAAGCCGCTCGAGATGGTCTACAGACCTGAAAATTCCTCTATCGAATTTTGTCTTAAGCGCTTCCGAATCTGAACGCAGATCAGAACATTTTAAGTAATCATCTGGCCACTGAATGATATTGGAAGTTTCATAGGGCGAATTCCAACTTCACCCGGTCAAAGTTTTGCGAAGAGTTTCTTGAGAAATTTGACGACATTGACACGGACATGGTTATCTGGGAATTGATTAATAGTATATAATTTAGCTAAAGGGACCAAAGGGAGATGGAGATATGCGAGCAGCAAAGCGAGATTGGACCACCTACCCTACTCAATATATGGTTATGTGGGCGGAAGAAAGATTTAAGCGTTATGGGCGTTAGAGTGGGCGAGACAAACTTTTTTTTGAGTCAATCGATAGGTATTGTCGAGACTAGTATATAAATGCTAAACCTTTGTTTCTAGCATGAAAATTGTGGGTGCCACAGGCCTTGGCGGTTTGTGGGCATTAGGGTGGGCGCGGCAAACTTTTTTGGATCAATCGATAGGTTTGACGAGACTAACACATTTCTGTTAATTTTTTGCTAGCATGAAAATTGTGGGCGCCACTGGTTTGGGCGGTTAGTGGGCGTTAGTGTTTGCTTGGCATATTCGCGTAACAAATTTGCGCTGCGTACAAGGCAACGGAATCTAAATCGGAAATCTTAATTCTCTAAATTTGATAGTTTCCGAGATATCAGCGTTCATTTTTTGAAGATTGTGGGCACGTTTGTGGTAGTGGCAAACTTTTTTAGGTCAATCGGTAGGTATTGATGAGAAAAATACATTTCAGTTAAAATTTGTATTCTAGCAACAAAACTGTAGAGGCCACAGTTTTGTGCGGCTTGTGGGCCTTAGAGTGGGCGTGCGCTGCGCGAAGAGCTCAGGAATCTACATGCCAAATTGCAACTTTCTAGCTTTTGTAGTTTTCGAGATCTCAGCGTTCATACGGACGGACAGACAGACGGACATGGCTAGATCGGTACGGCTAGTGATCCGGATCAAGAATATATGTATTTTAAGGGGTCTAGTATACTCTTTTACTCTACGAGTAGCGGGTATAAAAATGCACTGGCCAATATTATAATATATACATAATATGTTGGAATCGCAAAGTAATAATAATTATCATTATAGAGCGTATTTGAAAACAGTTTTAAGCTATGGGAGTTATGCCACCGATTTTTTTTCAAACTTTGGAAGAATAATAGCAAGGAAATATGTTTAGCCGGACACGAATTAAACCATTTGCATTATTTGATCTCATATCAAATTATTAATAGTTGTTGAACCCGGATAAATAATTAAATTGGTCTTAGTGGCCATCGGCCAGGGCAAGAACTTTATTCATTGACTTTCAAAGTTAGAGTGTCCTACAACCAGCTATTCGCGGCAGCGCTGCCTGCAAGCATTGGCAGCGGCCGCCATGTCTATATCAATGTAACTTATATGCTTACAAATGTATTTGGCTGATAGCAGCAAGAACGCGAGAGAAGTTGTACATGCATGGGTTGTATGTGACTGCACTCAGGGCATGAGAATATGCTGACACTAGCACTTCCCATAAGTTGGGCTCTGAGGCGCGATTATATTTCGGTTGGCCGCACGAGTCTAACGACCGGGTCAGCCAGCCTATATTGCAATGCAACCATTACAATTTTAGTCAGAGAGTAAATACTATAAGCGGGCAGGGCAATTTTTCCGACAGTTTGAAGTGTAGACTGAAAATGGAACTAATGACGATCACCGCCGATACCGTGATTAGTGTACCTCATCACTAAAAAAAAGTTTTGTATCAATGGAAAGCATTTCTTTCCAATGGTATATTTTCACTACTGTAAAAATAAACTGCACATTTTTAATTAAACTTTCAACACGATTGCTTGTGGATAGGGGTGAGACTTGGGCTCGTGTGTATCCCCGTGCACTTTCTCCTGCTGATTCTCAGTAAATAATATTTTGAAATGCTATAAAAGGATTCCGTCGGATACTACATTTAAAACCGTCAAAAAAAGTTGCCCTGCCCGCTTATAATAGCTACTAATGTTCCATTTTAATTTACCGTATATGTTTACCGAAAACGAAACGTAACGGTATTTGTATTATTTTGTCATTAATTTCCCGATCCTTTATATGACATCTATATGATATAATAGTCCAGTTCTTGTTAAATTGAATTCGAAAATCTAAATATTACAAAAATGTTATTTACCGGAGTAGAAGAGAATATGGTCAAAAATGGTTTTCTATTATTTTTCCATTACTTATCCGATCGTTTCTATGGCAGATATTGTTAACATTTTCCTTCTACATTTCTAAATTAGTAAAATTAATATATATCCACAAGTAAAAGTGAATATCTCAAAAACACCCTATTATACCCGTTACTCGTAGAGTAAAAGGGTACACTAGATTCGTCGAAAAGTATGTAACAGATAGAAGGAAGCGTTTCCGACCCCATAAAGTATATATAATCTTGATCAAAATCACTACCCGAGTCGATCTAGCCATGTCCGTCTATCCGTCCGGATGAACGCTGAGATCTCGGAAACTAAAAGACCTAGGCTATTGGAAATTGGCATGCAGATTCCTGAGCTTTTAAGGCAGCGCAAGTTTGCTCCAGCACGGTGCCACGGCCACTCTAACGCCCACAAACCGCCCAAAACTGTGGCTCGTACAGTTTTGGTGTTAGAATAAAATTTTAACTGACATGTATTGCCCTCATCAATACCTATCGACTGACCCAAAAGAATGCCCACAAACCGCCCACAAACTTCAAAAATTCGTAAGTATGAACGCGGATATCTCGGAAACTATCAAAGATAGCGAAGCAAGTTTGTCACGCGAATATGCCACACCCACAAACCGCCAAAACTTATGGCGCCCACAATTTTTATGCTAGAAAAAAATTTTAACTGGAATTAGTCTCGTCAATACCTTTCGATTGATCCAACAAAAAGTTTGGCACGCCAAACCTTAAATCCCACAAACCGCCAAAGCCTGTGGCGCCCACAATTTTCTTGCTATAAAAAAATTTGAACTGAAATGTATTAGTCTCGTCAATACCTATCGATTGATCCAAAAAAAAGTTTGGCACGCCCAACCTTAACGCCCACAAACCGCCAAAGCCTGTGGCGCCCAAAATGTTCATGCTGCAAAGAAATTGTAACTGAAATGTATTAATCTCGTCAATACCTATCGATTGACCCAAAAAAAAGTTTGCCACACCCGCTCTAACGCCCATAACGGTTTAAGCAGTCTACCGTCACATAACCACATATTGAAATCGCGAGTAGGTGGCGCCTTTCAATCTCGCTTTGCTGCGTGTGTATCTCCATTTCCATTTGGTCCCTTAAGCTGAGTAATGGGTATCTGATAGTCGAGGTACTAGACTGTAGCGTTCTTCCTTCCTTACTATGTAATAAGGTTCTCAATAGCGCAATGCTACATGCTTACATGCAAAGTTATTGCTCTATATATGATTTTGTGGAGTAGGCAGATTGCTAATATTTTGGCATACTGACGGTCTGGATGCAAAATGTATTGGCGGAAAGTGCTGTGATATATAGTTCTATGTTTTACTATTGTTAATGCGAAAATAATTGTATTATGTTGGTATATGGGCCTAAATTTACTTGGGAAGAAATAATCCACAGTGACTGAGCGCACCAAGTATACTCCCCGTACTTTATACAGTGGCTGAATTGAAAATCTGTTATAATAGTCCAACCGTAATGGGTATTACACCAATCTATAGCGTTCTTCCTTCCTTACTATTTTATAAGGTTCTCAATAGCGCAAAAAGTGCTACATGGTTACTTGCAAAGTTATTGCTCTATATATGATTTTGTGGAGTCGGCAGAATGCTAATGTTTTGGCGTACTGACGGTCTGGATCCAAAATGTGTTGGCGGAAAGTGCTGTGATATATAGTTCTATGTTTTACTATTGTTAATGCGATAATAATTGTATTATGTTGGTATATGGGCCTAAATATACTTGGGAAGAAATTATATACAGTGACTGAGCACACTCAGGTGCACAGTCCCCGTATTTTATTATTATTATTATTTATTAATTGAAAATCTGTCATAAAAGTCCAACCGTAATGAGTGATACACCAATCGGTTTCTAAATGAATACATAATGTAGTGTAGTTCACGTACAATTTAAGGGACCGATTTATTATTTGACTTTAAATGTGCTTCAGTTATAAACATTTCATTAACATAGGTACTTTTAGGCTTATTACTTTGTAGTAAAGTCTGGCCAATAATTTATATAGTATTTTTGTGTTCTCCCATCAAACAATCTTTCAAGCCAATAGTCCAGGCTATTAAGTAAATTATCCTCCAAAAGAATATTTGAGTCTGTATCAGATTCTTCAGAGTATCCTCCTTCAAGGAACGTCCCGACCTCAGGATCCTCCTTTGTGTTCATTAGTATTTTTGTTATTTTAAGTATTCTCTGAAATTGAAAAGAGTTACCATAGATTACAAATCGTTCATCTTTATGCGTAAATATTAGAAAATATATACTAAGGACCATAGAAACCTTGTTCAACTTAATCTGTGCGGACTGCTCGACAGTAAAATTTAGATCAAATGGTTCGATTAGAATAATTTTTGGCATGTAGATTGGTATTGATAATAAGAACAACAATTCATTTAAGTTTTAACAATATTTTTGAGAAAGGTTATGGGATTAAAGAGGGCGTGGCGCACTTCTGAATCAAACTTGCGCTGCGCAGGAAGCCCAAGAATCTACATGGCAAGTCCCAATATTCTAGCTCTTATAGTTTCCGAGATCACAACGTTCATATCAGCGGACGGACAGACGGAAATGTTTAGATCGACTCGGCTAGTGATTCTGATCAAGAATTTATATACTTTACTTTATTTATATACATACTTTCCGACTAATCTAGTATACCCTTTTACTAAGTGTTCTCGTTACTCCGTTGCGTTTTAGTCCCTTTTCCCAATCGCCTTGTCACCTTGACCAGTTCCCATTTTTTTCTCGTTAGCGAATCTTCGTTATCCAAATGACTTAAACGAAAATTTTATTGATGGAGACATTTCTGAGGAAAGCCGTGTACTGCTTATAGGGTAAGTGCTAGAGTTGAGGGGAGTCCATAGTCCAGTAACTTCAGTTATGGGAAAACCACAACCAATCGAATCAAGGAAATTAATATGCCCAAAAGCAGAATGTTGTAATGGTGACGATCCAAATTTAATATTATGAATTAAAAGAACAGTTCAGACATATTGGTATTTGTGTCTAACCGAAGTAGACACTTCTGGGTCACGCCGCGGCACAAGGGGGTAGTGAGCGCTTGAGATAGTGTAGTATTCCGTGCCGTATTCCCGGAGGTAGGAAGTTATAACTTGGCGTGTGAACGTACTGTCGAGTTTGCGTAATTGGCACGGCTGGCACTGCAGAATGTGTTGACCGCTTGGCGGGTGAATTCATATGTTTGCATACTTGGCGGGTGAAGGTACCGCAGAGTCGAGTCATGCGTTGACACAAAATATAAAATGCTGATCAGAACTTCTCAACTGCAGTGGGTGCAACTGGGCGCCTGGTACTATTTCCAACTTGGCTATTGCGTGATTTGTTGGGTGCCGGTTTTGTTAGGTAACATTGGTTCAGAAAACCATAGTAGTAAAGACTTAGAAGCTATATTCTTAGAAATATAACAAGCCGTTAAAGGCAGTAGACTTTCGAGCAGTAGCACAGTGCAAGCATTATCGGAGTGTCTTCAGAAATCTTACTCATGACCAACTTGTAAGACATAGTGTGACCACCACCGCCACCATCTCCGAGTAACAAATTACAAGCAGATATCTCAGCCGCAGAGCAAATTCAAAACTCTGACGATCAACAGTTCACTAGGCCCGCAGGCACTAGGGGAGAAAGGGGTTGCGGAAACGGTCAACGAAAAGAGATTACTAGTGTGGTACGTTCTGACCTCCATCCTTTTAACACAGTTAGCAACAATGCAGCTGGGGAACAGTACAAAATCAAATTCCTAGACCAGGGAAATTCCATGGGAAATATAGATTTACCAGCACAGGCGAACAAACGAACGTCTAATTCGTATGGAGCTAAGGGGAACGATAACGTTGCAGTCCACCAGGTTAAAGTTCCAGTATCCAGAGCGGGCGGATCTGGTTTGAAGCCGCTCAAGATGGTCTTCAGACCGGAAAATTCCTCTATCGAATTTCGTCTTAAGGGCTAACGAATCTGAACGCAGATCAGAACATTTTAAGTGATCATCCGGCCACTGAATGGTATTGGAAGTTTCATAGCAGCAAATACCTGTTTTTCGCTGTTACAAGAGGAGTAATGAATAATTTTTATAAACAAGTAAAAATGCAGTAGTCTTGGGTCTAGACCATTCGTATCCCAGTTAGATTAAGAGGTGAAGGAGATGCAGACCGATAAGGTCGCCGCAACACATTGGAAGCCACGTTAATGCTGGAATAGTGACGGTCCAGGTCTCCGACACAAGGAATGTCTTTAGAACCAGCGTCACATCTTTTGTTATAGATGCTGTGCCATGAGTGTTTTTAGGGCAAGGTGTCAAACTTGTAGTCTGGAAATACGGCTGTCCGAACCCAGCGTACACCCTGCTGCTGCCGCATCCAAAACAGTAGGGGTACATCGCGCGACCCAAACTGAGTCGGAAAGCACTACCGAACACTTGCCATTCTAGGACCGACTTGCTCGATACACGTAAGCGAGGAAATCGTATATTTGGGGCTATGGTTATAACGGTAGAACTCGAAGATCATCAACACGAGCCAGAATTCTTTGAAAGCGAGTTAGCGGCAGACGCAAAAGACTAATTTCACCCATATTTATTTGCCATACTTATCAGATTCAGGTGCTACAGTGACTTGTATTGGCAGCGACGCTGCGACTGCATTTAATAATCACCCTCAAAAGCTTAGCTGTTCAGGGTACATATGAACAGCAAATAATTCAGAGTGTTACAGGACGAATCGTCATGAAGATAAAGTATCGTGAACAGACGAACCTACTAGAGTTCTTCATCACCTTTATCTAAAACAGGATGTTTATTTAGGTACAGATTATTGGATGAATTTTGGGGTAGTCGACAAAATCACGGATGACTAGGAATCAGTTACAGTATTAAATGTAGGTCACGAAGAGTGTCACGATTCAACCAAGAACCAATCAACCTATTAGCACAATTCAATTGTACGAGAAAGAAGGCTTAGGGCGTCCCCTTTTGATAGATCCCCATATAGATGTGCAATTCTTCTCCGGTTTCGCCGGAGAAAGAAAGTGTTATGTTTTCCGTAATCGAGTTGGCAATGGATGTTAGCGAAGAGTGTAGGAGTCCATGGAGTAGTAAATGAGTTCTTGTTTAGCGAGGAGAAAAAACTCGGCTTTATACCTTCCTTAGGTGTATGGAATCCTTATGAGGCTGCCTCCGGCTCGCTCTTTTACCGGTCTACACATGAAGCACGCCTTCTGGCAGATAGTAGTCGTCTCGCTCGACCTTTTGGTTCTCTCTGAAGACTTCGAGTCGCATAATGCATAATGCAAGTCGGCGCTCAGAGATTTTTCTAAACCTGTCACGACCAAAGAATTTTAACGATTTCTAGCTCTCGCCTGGTGGAATATGTTAGTGGAGAACTACACATGCATAGTTTGAGCTTTAACCTATTTATTGAAGAAGAGCAGAGTTGAAGGCTTTTAACCAGTTAAAAGGCAGTCTAACGTCTTCGCCAGTCTTACGTATGTCCGATTTCTCGAGGCAGCTTTTTCTTCTTTGCGACGCCGGTCTGCACGGCATCGTCTGTGTGTTAACACAAGCAGAAGAAGAACGAACCGAGCTTCCTATCGCTTATAGGTCCGAGAAACTCTCGAAAGCCCAGCGAAACTATTCGGTAACTGAATGGAAATCAGGGCGGACTTCATAGTAATTACCGACCATGCTTCGCTGCAGGGGCTAATGAAACAGATGCAACTTAAATCGAAACACTTCAAGGCTTTCCTGACTAGTTTTGGCAACTCACATGTCTGTACTGTAATCTACTCCCCACAGGCTAACGCAGGCTAAACCGTGCGATGCATACATAGGTCAGAACCACACCACGCCACCAAGCTTGACAAGAAGCTAAGGCCGTAATATCAGCTAGCCGTGAGACAACTTACAAAGTCGGAGCGAATAGCTGAAAGTTGGTAAATCGGTTTTTGCTGAACATTTTGCTTGAAGCAATTCGGTCAAGAAATTCAATAGCAAATTATTTTCTCTCGCCTAGGCCAACAGACGTGTGCCGAAGACCCAGACAAGTTTATTTCTAACAAGTGCAAGCGTTATAAGAGTGTGACGAGACCCAATGAAATTTCGTGAAGTATTGTCCAGAAGTAATTTTGTTGTTATTTCTCAAGAACTGATCGGCTTATTCCCGAAATGCTTTTCAGAATCCGCCCCCAATCGATCTTCCACTCGTCGCAGCGTATCATAACTTCGCTGCCAGCCGCTTGCTGGTACCCCGCGCACGTGGCCCAATCTTACTACCCCACGCTGTACGCTGGCCATAACACCGTGGAACGATCGCATTCGGCGGTGGCTTTAAGGTCTCTTTAAGGTCAGTTGCCGGCAATTATTTGCCAATAATATTATATTCTATTCTTCACCTACAAGAAGGGAATTTTCCTCGACTTGACCATGGAATTCTCATAAGCTGGATATGCGGCCTAGTCAACGCACGAACGGTGTTGCCCAATACGACGCGGCTGCTGCACAGCAATCTCAGCGGAGATTGGCGTTGAAAGAAAAAGCCACCACAAAGCTTGGTCGGCGGTATCAATTTGTAGTTTTTTGTATACTCTTACAGAGACGTTTCCGACTCATAAATGTTCTTGATTTCTTTTTTTATTCAATGTAAAAAATTATTTAACTTCGGTGTTTTATGACATATTAACTTCTACTCTTTAGGAATAACACAAATTTCGAATAAAATTAAATTCTAAAAAATCTGTCATCAAATAGCTGCGATATCGAATAATTATTGTCAAAATAATACAAAGACCTCTATATTTTTGTTTTATTTATGGTAGTTAATTTTAATGGAAAATTATCTTTACATTTCTGTAATTTGTTTTTAATTTTCCTAAAATCGGAAAGCTTTGTACATACAATGTAGAAAGACCTGCGATGGTATAGAAACTTCGTCTCGTGAAATTATCTTCCATTCTTGTTTTATTGTACTTTCTTACTGTTAAAATAGTAGCTCTAAATTCGCTCAAATAGGTGGAAAGCCTCCTCTATAAGCGGGGAGTGCGTCGAAGTTAATGTTAAACAAGGAAGAATGCTATGGTCGAGTACCTCGACTATCAGATACACGTTACTCAGCTAAAGGGACCAAAGGGAAATGGAGATATGCAAGCAGCAAAGCGAGATTAAAATGCGACACCTACCGGCGGCAGACAGATTTAAGCGTTAGAGTGGGCGTGGCAATTTTTTTGGATCAATCGATAGGTATTGATGACAACAATACATTTCAGTTGAAATTTTTATTCTAGCATCAAAACTGTAGGAGCCACAGTTTTGGGCGGCTTGTGTGCGTAAGAGTGGGCGTGGAACATTGCTGAAACAAACTTGCGCTGCGTATGAAGCTCAGGAATCTGCACGCCAAATCTCAATAGTCTAGCTCTTATAGTTTCCGAGATCACAGCGTTCATCTGGACAGGCGGCTAGATCGACTCGGCTAGTGATCCCGATCAAGAATATATATACCTTATGGGGTCGGAAACGCTTCCCTCTGCCTGTTGCATACTTTCCGACGAATCTAGTATACCCTTTTAGTCTACGAGTAACGGGTATAAACATCACATAAACACGTTTATACGACATGTCTTAATCTATCCTCAAGGAATCAACGACAGCTTCATTGGGCCCAACGAATGCTACGATGGATTTTCTTGTATGAGTGTATGTTGTGTGTTAAATCTTACACTGAATCAAATTAAATTTTAGTGAATATGTTTATAACTCAGGGATCGTCGGTGCAGTTCCCTTGTTAGCTACACCTCTTGTAAAATATAATAGACTTATACGAACACCTAATATAGTTAACCTCAATAGTGGCCACTTAGTATTTGAAACGCTATAGTCGAGTACCTCAACTATCAGATACCCGTTACTCAGCTAAAGAGACCAAAGGGAAATTTAGACATGCAAGCAGTAGAGCGAGATTGAAAGCGCCACCTATGGACGTTAGAGTGGCCGTGGCAATCGAACTTTTTTTGGCGTCAATCGATAGGTATTGATGAGACTAATACATTTCAGTTAAAATTTTTTATCCAGCATACAAATTATGGGCACCACAGATTTCGGCGGCTTGTGGGCGTTAAAGAGGGCGTGGCATCTTCGCGTAACAAACTTGCACTGCGTACTAGACTACAAAATCTAAATCTGAAATCCCAGTTCCTTGTCTTCTATAGTTTCTGAGATATCCGCGTTCATATTTACGATTTGCTGAAGTTTGTGGATGGATTGTGGGCGTAAGAGTTGGCGTGGCACATTGCTGAAACAAACTTCCGATGCGTAAGAAGCTCAGGAATCTGCATGCCAAATCTCAATTTATAAAATTTACATGATCATATACTACTCGGAACACGAAAGTTTAGTATAGTGAAAAGTGCCACTAGTTTTATTTTAAAATAGGACTTTACAGTTTGAGAAGTTGACTTGGCGGGTGAATGTACTGTCGAATTGGCACGGCTGGCACTGCAGAATGTGTTGACTGCTTTGCGGGTGAAGGTACTGTAGAGTCGAGTCATGCGTTGACACTAAATATAAAATGCTGATCAGAACTTCTCAACTGCAGTGGGTGCAACTGGGCGCCTGGTACTATTTCCAACTTGGCTATTGCGTAATTTGTTGGGTGCCGGTTTTGTTAGCTAACATTGGTTCAGAAAATCATAGTAGTAAAGACTTAGAAGCTATATTCTTAGAAATATAACAAGCCGTTAAAGGCAGTAGACTTTCGAACAGTGGCACCGTGCAAGCATTATTGGAGTGTCTTCAGAAATCTCACTCATGACCAACTTGTAAGACATAATGTGACCACCACCGCCACCATCTCCGAGTAACAAATTACAAGCAGATATCTCAGCCGCAGAGCAAATTCATAACTCTGGCGATCAACAGTTCACTAGGCCCGCAGGCACTAGGGGAGAAAGGGGTTGCGGAAACGGTCAACGAAAAGAGATTACTAGTGTGGTACGTTCTGACCTCCGTCCAGGGGAACAGTACAAAATAAAATTCCTAGACCAGGTTCATGGGAAATATAGACTTACCAGTACAGGCGAACAAACGAACGTCTAATTCATATGGAGCTAAAGGGAACGGTAACCGTCACCAGGTTAGCGGTGTAAGCAACAGGTCGAACGTTGCAGTCCACCAGGTTAAAGTTCCAGTATCCAGAGCGGGCGGATCTGGTTTGAAGCCGCTCGAGATGGTCTACAGACCTGAAAATTCCTCTATCGAATTTTGTCTTAAGCGCTTCCGAATCTGAACGCAGATCAGAACATTTTAAGTAATCATCTGGCCACTGAATGGTATTGGAAGTTTCATAGGGCGAATTCCAACTTCACCCGGTCAAAGTTTTGCGAAGAGTTTCTTGAGAAATTTGACGACATTGACACGGACATGGTTATCTGGGAATTGATTAATAGTATATAATTTAGCTAAAGGGACCAAAGGGAGATGGAGATATGCGAGCAGCAAAGCGAGATTGGACCACCTACCCTACTCAATATATGGTTATGTGGGCGGAAGAAAGATTTAAGCGTTATGGGCGTTAGAGTGGGCGAGACAAACTTTTTTTTGAGTCAATCGATAGGTATTGTCGAGACTAGTAGTTTGTTTCTAGCATGAAAATTGTGGGTGCCACAGGCCTTGGCGGTTTGTGGGCATTAGGGTGGGCGCGGCAAACTTTTTTGGATCAATCGATAGGTTTGACGAGACTAACACATTTCTGTTAAATTTTTTGCTAGTATAAAAATTGTGGGCGCCACTGGTTTGGGCGGTTAGTGGGCGTTAGTGTTTGCTTGGCATATTCGCGTAACAAATTTGCGCTGCGTACAAGGCAACGGAATCTAAATCGGAAATCTTAATTCTCTAAATTTGATAGTTTCCGAGATATCAGCGTTCATTTTTTGAAGATTGTGGGCACGTTTGTGGTAGTGGCAAACTTTTTTAGGTCAATCGGTAGGTATTGATGAGAAAAATACATTTCAGTTAAAATTTGTATTCTAGCAACAAAACTGTAGAGGCCACAGTTTTGTGCGGCTTGTGGGCCTTAGAGTGGGCGTGCGCTGCGCGAAGAGCTCAGGAATCTACATGCCAAATTGCAACTTTCTAGCTTTTGTAGTTTTCGAGATCTCAGCGTTCATACGGACGGACAGACAGACGGACATGGCTAGATCGGTACGGCTAGTGATCCGGATCAAGAATATATGTATTTTAAGGGGTCTAGTATACTCTTTTACTCTACGAGTAGCGGGTATAAAAATGCACTGGCCAATATTATAATATATACATAATATGTTGGAATCGAAAAGTAATAATAATTATCATTAAAGAGCGTATTTGCAAACAGTATTAAACTATGGGAGTGATGCCACCGATAGTCACTTGGCCTCCCAACATTTTTTTTCAAACTTTGGAAGAATTATAGCAGGGAAATATGTTTAGCCGGACACGAATTAAACCATTTGCATTATTTGATCTCATATCAAATTATAAATAGTTGTTGAACCCGGATAAATAATTAAATTGGTCTTAGTGGCCATCGGCCAGGGCAAGAACTTTATTCATTGACTTTCAAAGTTAGAGTGTCCTACAACTACCTATTCGCGGAAGCGCTGCCTGCAAGCATTGGCATACATGCATGGGTTGTATTTGAGTGCACTCAGGGCATGAGAATATGCTGACACTAGCACTTCCCATAAGTTGGGCTCTGAGGCGCGATTATATTTCGGTTGGCCGCACAAGTTTAACGGCCGGGTCAGTCAGCCTGTAGTCATCCAGCCTATAGTGCTGCATTTGCATAAGATGTTGCAATGCAACCATTATAATTTTAGTTAGAGAGTAGATACTATAAGCGGGCAGGGCACTTTTTTCGACGGTTTTAGGTGTAGACTGAAAATGGAACTAATGACGATCACCGCCGATACCGTGATTAGTATACCACATCACTAAAAAAAAGTTTGGTGTCAATGGAAAGCATTTCTTTCCAATGGTATATTTTCACTGCTGTGAAAATAAACTGCACATTTTGAACTAAACTTTCAAAATGCAAACATGGAAGAACGCTATAGTCGCGTACCTCGACTATCAGATATCCGTTACTCAGCTAAGGGGATCAAAGGGAAATGGAGATATGCAAGCAGCAAAGCGAGATTAAAATACATCACCTACCGGCGGTAGACAAATGTAAGCGTTATGGGCGTTAGAGTGGGCGTGGCAAACTTTTTTTTAGATCAATCAATAGTTATAAACGAGACCAATACATTTCAGTTAAAATTTTTTATCTAACATGAAAACTGTTGGCGTCACAGGCTTGGGCGATTTGTGGGAGTTACAGTGGGCGTGGCAAACTTTTTTTGGGTCAATCGATAGGTATTGATGACAACAATACATTTCAGTTGAAATTTTTATTCTAGCATCAAAACTGTAGGAGCCACAGTTTTGGGCGGCTTGTGGGCGTAAGAGTGGGCGTGGAACATTGCTGAAACAAACTTGCGCTGCGTAAGAAGCTCAGGAATCTGCACGCCAAATCTCAAAAGCCTAGCTCTTATAGTTTTCGAGATCTCAGCGTTCATCCGGACAGACTGACAGACGGACATGGCTAGATCGACTCGGCTAGTGATCCTAATCAAGAATATATATACTTTATGGGGTCGGAATCGCTTCCTTCTGCCTGTTACATACTTTCCGTCGAATCTGGTATATCATTTTACTGTACGAGTAACGGTTATAAACATCACATATACACGTTTATACGACAAGTCTTAATCTATCCTCAAGGAATCAACGACAGCTTCATTGGGCCCAACGAATGCTACGATGGATTTTCCTGTATGAGTGTATGTTGTGTGTTAAATCTTACACTGAATCAAATTAAATTTTAGTGAATATGTTTATAACTCAGCGATCGTCGGTGCAGTTCCCTTGTTAGCTACACCTGTTGTAAAATATAATAGACTTATACAAACACCTAATATAGTTAACCTCAATAGTGGCCACTTAGTATTTGAAATAATTTGAAGTTTAAACCATTATGAATAACTTATAAGAAAAGAAAACCATTCCGCGTTGTTTATTTGAAGAGTATGCTAGAGCGTATCGAGCTAAATTTGTTAAATAAATGAAGAGTATTCTGTCTATACCGCAACGAAATGATAGTTCCTTATAGTTCCATTTGTTTAATGGATCATAACGTGAACAACAGATCGCGAAAGGGGTATTAAAAAGAAAAGAAATTAGATAACCAAATGTAAAAGTTACCACGGAAGAGTGGGTTCAGAATGGGGGCAAAACAACATCTAAGTCTCTTTAGTCCTAGTCCAACTCTCGTTTGACTGTCTGCTCTTCTTTTGTAGCTGTAACTTAACAGTGGGTATAGCCAATTACAATGTCGTTATGTACATTATGTTTTGTTACAGATAGTCCACCTATTTTCTGGGTTAATGTTGATGTATAGCTGAACTTGTAGTCCGGAAACACGGCTGTCCGAACCCAGCATACACCCTGCTGCCGCATCCAAATAAGTAGGTATACATCGCGCTACCCAAACTGAGTCGGTTTTTAACGACCGACCAGAAAGCACTACCGAGCACTTGCCATTCTAGGACCGACTTGCTCGATACACGTAAGCGAGGAACCGTATATTTGGGGATTTGCACAGCTATGGCTATAACGGTAGAACTCGAAGATCATCGACACGAGCCAGAATTCTTTGGAAGCGAGACGCAAAAGACTAATTTCACCCATATTTATTTGCCATACTTATCAGATTCAGGTGCTACAGTGACTTGTATTGGCAGCGACGCGGCGACTGCATTTAATAACCACCCTCAAAAGCTTAACTGTTCAGGGTACATATGAACAGCAAATAATTCAGAGTGTTACAGGACGAATCGTCATGAAGATCAAGTATCGTGAACAGACGAACCTAATAGAGTTCTTCATCACCTTTATCTAAAACAGGATGTTTATTTAGGTACAGATTGTTGGATGAAGTTTGGGGTAGTCGACAAAATCACGGATGACTAGGAATCAGTTACAGTTAGATGTAGGTCACGAAGAGTGTCATGACTCAACCAAGAACCAATCAAGAAAGAAGGCTTAGGGCGTCCCCTTTTGATAGATCCCCATATAGATGTGCAATTCTTCTCCGGTTTCGCCGGAGAAAGAAAGGGTTATGTTTTCCGAAATCGAGAACATGTTGGCAATGGATGTTAGCGAAGAGTGTAGGAGTCCATGGAGTAGTAAATGAGTTCTTGTCTAGCGAGGAGAAAAAACTGGCTTTATACCTTCCTTAGGTGTATGGAATCCTTAGCAGGCTGCCTCCAGCTCG